AATTATACTTCTCACATATCGCAAGGATAAACATTTAGACCTGGAACAATTACTTGTAGGTCATACAAATACTTTTCCGTGCGGGATTCGAACCCGCGGCCCTTAGCGCTGCAACTTACAAAATTGCTAAACCACTGCGCTACGGAGCCGTCTGGGATTGATTTCATTCAGTGCACAATAATATATTTTTTTAATTTAGAACCTTATTAAGTTTTTCAATAAAACCGGTAGGCTGGGGTTAAGGTATTGTAAAATTGTAGAAAGTATTAGATTGAAAGCAGGGCTGTGCCTGTGGGATGTGTGCGTAGACTGTTACTTTTTTATGGAGCATACTCACCGAGGTAAGTGAACTAGGCAACATAACAGTTGGGCTGAAAAGTTCGTATCGTTTTATAGAAAAACACATTTTTTTGGCAAAATTCGATTTTATTATTCAACATAGTTGCCATCGAGGGCGATACACCGATTATAGCGATCTTCCAACTATTAAATACCACTTTTGTAGTACGATTTGTGTTTAGCCTCAAAATAGGCCTCTGTTTCGGCGATTACTTCCTCATCGGCTTTAAATTTCTTTCCAGCGAGTATTCTCTTGAGATCTGAGAACAGGAAAAAGTCGCTGGGGGCCAAATCTGGAGAATACGGTGGATGCGGAAGCAATTCGAAGCCCAATTCATGCAATTTTGCCATCGTTTTCATCGATTTGTGACACGGCGCATTGTCCTGATGAAACAACACTTTCTTCTTCTTCAAATGGGGCCGTTTTTTCGCGATTTCGTCCTTCAAACGCTCCAATAACGCTATATAATAGTCGCTGTTGATGGTTTTTCCCTTTCCAAGATAGTCGATGAAAATTATTCCATGTGCATCCCAAAATACGGACGCCATAACCTTACCGGCCGACTGTTGAGTTTTTCCACGCTTTGGATTCGGTTCATCGCGTGCAGTCCATTCAGATGATTGCCGACTGGACTCCGGAGTGTAGTGGTGGATCCATGTTTCATCGACTGTCACATATCAACGCAAAAATTCACTTCTATTGCGGTTGAACAGCTCCAAACATTGCTCTGAAGCATCGACACGTTCTTGTTTTTGGTCGATTGTGAGCTCGCGCGGCACCCACTTTGCACATAGCTTTCGCATACCCAAATATTCATGAACGATATGTTTAACACGTTCCTTTGATATCTTTAGAGTGCCAGCTATACAAATCAACCTCAATTTACGATCTTCCAAAATCATTTTGTGTCCGGATAACACTCATCAAGCCACTTTTTGGTATCAGCAGCACTTTTTTTCATCAAAAAATAGTGTTTCATTAAAACACGAAATTCCTTTTTATCCATTTTTTTTTCAAAATAACAAAAGTTGCTTCACTCAAAATGCTGTATCTCACAAACTAATAATCAGACAGCTGTCAAATTTATACACGTTTCTTTTGAAGGTTGGTACTACCTAAAAACCGGCCAAGAGCGTGTCGAGCCACGCTCAGTGTAGGGTTCCGTAGTTTCCCGTCCGTCACAATAAGTGTTCCCACTTATGAGTTTAAAGGTGGGTATCCATTATGTTCGCGCTCCAGCAGCGCTCCGTGCTCCTGCAACTGCTCCCGGTAGTGGGTACGTGCGCGAACATGGAGCGTGCAACATTGCACTCTCCGCGGCAGGCGCTCCGACTTTCCATCCAAGTTCAAAGTAATTTTCCTAGAAAGTCATAAAGTTCTACTTTTCAGATTTTTTTCATATTTTCTAAACTTATGGTTCAAAAGTTAGAGGGGGGGGGGGGGCACATTGTTTTTTACTTTTGGAGCGATTATTTCCGAAATTATTGACATTATCAAAAAATGATCTTAGTAAACCCCTATTCATTTTTTAATACCTTTCCAACAATATATCACACATTAGGGTTGAAATTAAAAAAAAAATCAGTTCCCACTTTACATATAGGGGGACTACCCTAATAAAACATTTTTTTCCAATTTTTATTTTACCACTTTGTCGGCGTGTTTGATACACATATTGGTACCAAATTTCAGCTTTAGTTCTAACGGTCACAGAGATTAAGCGAGGACGGACAGACGGACAGACAGACATGGCGAAACTATAAGGGTTCCTAGTTGACTACGGAACCCTAAAAATGATATGGATTTTATTCTAGTGGCGCCATCTCATAGAGACGATACGAACTTTTCAGCCCAACCAATATTTTTGGATTTATGAAGGTTTCTTCCAACCCAGCTGTGTAGTTGCGACGTGAAAAATTCCACTACCCCTTAATATCATCCCAGTCGTAAAAGGCGACTGAAGGAAACCAGAACAAAAGATAGGTAGGTAGCAGCACTTTCCAGTTAATAAATGAAAAAAAAAAAACGAAAAAGTCGTCTATCCCACTAATATTTTTCTGTGCGTTCTTTAAAATTTACCCCGTAGTTATAGTAGCGCCACCCTTATTTAACGGTTTTCTATGGACACTTTTTAATACACAGTCTGTACTCCTTACTTCTACACTCCATATAACGTTTATTGCACGGACTGTCACCATAATTCTTTTTTATAATAATTAAATTATTGTTTACAAAACCATTTTTTCAAAGTCACTCTCAACGTATTTCACGGTGACTTATTCTAGGTTATATTTACTAAATTATTTTAGACAATTTGAGTAGTTGAGGTTTTAAATATTGCAGTTTTATCAACTACTGCTCTAGTCACTACAAATATTAGGTTCCTCAACTCAGCGCACTTCACTCCGTCGACAATTGCTAAGTTCATTTCATACCCTCTAGCTGCTCTAGCGCTGTTGTGGAGAGTTTTGAACTCTTACAAGCAGTAACAAATAACAGATTTTCAACTCTTTCAACCATTTTCCTGTGAGATGGTTCTCCTTACTTACACTACGGCGAAATTATATTTATTCGTGGTTATGATAAGCGCCATCTAGTGTAAGTTGCTAGAAGCTAAGAGCTAATTATTTTATGCATAATAGGGCAACTCATAAGGATCATGCTACAAACAAAAAAACTTGGAAAAAATTTCACAATTACATTTTTTTAATGTTAAGCTGTTTAGGGTGAATATTTTCAAAAAAAGGGTAAAAAAAATCATAACTCGAAAACTACAAAAAATCGCGTAACATACATAGGGTATTTTCGGATACCCCTAGGTGTGAGGAATCAAAAAAAAATTTTATAACCTCACTGTTTGGACCACCCTGTATAATTCCCGTTACTTTGTTGTTTTCTTTTTGATAAAAGTATTTACAATAACTTGCCACCTATTCATTACTTTCCGTACCTATTTACACTCTTATTTACGTTCATTACGCTTAATTCGTCCCATGGATGCCAGCAGTTTTATTCCCAGGCACAGAGTATAATACAATACAGTGGAATCTCTATAACTCGAATCTCAAGGGAAATGCAAAAAAAATTGAGTTAACGAGTTTCGACTTAACAAGAACTTGGAGATACATATAATTTAACTGCCAAAGTTTCGACTTACAGAGGCGCGATTTCTAAGTATATTTTTCGATTTGTAGAATCGAATTTGAATTACAATTCAACTTAAGTTTTATAGTATATATTTTTTACATATTAAAACAAATTACATATTAATGAAGTAAACTATACACTAGAAAAAATCAGTTATCTTCTTTTGATTTAAACTATTTGCCGATTTTTTATCAATTATTTTTTCAAGCTCTGTCAAAGCCTAAATAAATACTGACGGACAAGTTCCACTATAAGTAATCGTGTCCTGTGTCGACAAGGAACAAACATAACGTTCACAGCTGTGTTAGAAAATTTTACGAATGTATTCATTCATTTCAGCAGCAGCTTATTCAACACTAAGCATCGGTAACGTGTTCACTAATACCTACTCCGGGAACGGGGTGGACGCTTCCAAGCTGTTTCTTAAATAAGTTTTAAAAGTAGTTTGTACAATCTGTATTTTATTACATACATAAACACTCACGCCTGTCACCCAGAGGGGTAGGCAGAGACTACGGACTTCCATTTGGCACGATCCTGACATACCTCTTTCCCTCCTACGCATACATGCATCTACGCATACATGCTCGTCGGTTAAGGGTAGTTCTAACGTGGCCCCTTTTCAAAATATCGCCAATTTGGTCGATAAACTTTTTTCTAGGGCGTCGCTTCCCGACTCGGCCGTTCACATCTGCCATATAAATTTGCTTTGTCACTCTTTCCTCATTCATTCTTTCTACATGACCAAACCACCGAAGCATTCCTTTCTTAATCCTGGTCACAACACCATCTTGCATACCACATTTATCTCTTATCATGCAATTTCTCACCCTGTCATTCAGATTCAACCCTAGCATACTCCTTAAAGACCGCATTTCTACAGCATTTATTCTACTTTCGTACTTACTTTCGTACGTACTTACTTTGTATTTTATTATAAAATTTATTCGTAAAAAAAGCCCCACGGGGTTGCTTGCTGGTTCTTTTCAGAACAAAAATGTTTTTTCGAATCAGTGGGTAAAAGTAAAAAATCTGAATTTAAAATTGTTTGAAATTATTCTATTTTTTCTATTCAATATGTTAAACATTTTATTAGGTAAGAGGGTACAAATTTATGATAAAAAGTCCCGCTGGGTTTTTTTGCTGGATCTCTACACTCACGACACAAATCAAAGCAGTATTAAGCTGGTTTTTTACGCTGATATTTTGTGAGATCGTGATCCTTTCCCTATTGAGCAGACTCATTCGTACTACAACCATAACATAGCTGCAGCGTAGCTCTACCACGTATGAAATAATTATATCTATCTATATGAAACACAAAAAATATACCTATGTCCGTTATAGACTGAAACCATACAACCGATTTTGATGATTTTTTTGTGTGTGGTTTGAATAAGCCCCTAGATTTATATTCACATTTGGCGCTGTTGTTGAGATCCAGAAACCTACCGTGCGAAGCCGGGGCAGATCGCTAGTATAGCAATAAAACACAAAATACATTTAGAACTCTTTATTCCGCTTTGGACTTGAGTCTTGCCTTCTCCCAGGCCTTCTGGGACAGCTTGAAAGTAGCGAGATCGTATTTAGTAGCGATAAGACGTCCATACTGGGACCCGTTGAGTAAACTGCTCTTGTCTGCTAATTCTGCCATTATGGAGAGCTGTTGTTCCGCGGTGGCTGCCTCGAAGATCTGCTCGAAGGCACGGGAACCGTACTGCGTGAGGGCCAGCTTCTGATAAGAACCCTGAGGAAAATAGGACGTAAAACAATTGTCAATCACTAATAAGAGGCGCAAATATGAAATATAAGTATTTACGTGATGGAATCATGCTGAAGTTATATTATGACTGTTATTCTGTGAGAGTGCGTAAAATACCAGCTTAATGCTACTGTGTATTGTATGGTAAGTGTAGAGAACTGGAGACCCTTTTTACTGGATACGAGGCATTTCATCTTAGTCCTCAGACGTGACACATCTGCATCTTGATTCTTAATGGAGGAAAAGACGTAAATGTCTATGGGCCACAGCATTCACTTACCACTGTTGGCTCATTTGTCACCCTTATTCTATAAAAAAGAAGACTAACTTACTGACCAATCGTGTTAATGAATGTTCAAATATATTCCTTTTATTACACCAAAGAGTACTAAAATGACTAAAATCCTACTATGCAGATCGAAATTGTGCTCAAGACTTGTCATCATCATCTTTGCAGCCCTTCACAAGTCCACTGCTGAACACAGGCCTCCCCTAAAGAATGCCACAAAGCACGGTCCTGAGCCATCTGCATCCATCGACTTCCTGCAAGTCTTCCTCATCGGTTGTAGGTTCTTCGAGCCATATGGCCGGCCCATTGCCACTTCAGCCTATTAATCCGTTGGGTTCTGTCGATCACTCTGGTTCTACTGCGGATATCCTCATTTCTAAGTTTATCACACAGTGAAATCCCGAGCATAACCGTTATAATTTATTTGCCGTTATAGTGTAATTAAATTAAATTGTTAAAAATAATAGAATATTTATATTGCTTGAAAATTTACCTTTGTTTAATTTTGACTTTATTTTTATTTTATTTTATTATAGGATATAGTGACAAACGAGCACACAGTCCACCTGATGGTAAGTGGTTGCTGTGGCCCATAGACATCTACATATATCCTCGATTACAAATCAAAATGCAGATGTTTTATCACCCATGAGAACTAAAATGGAATGGCTCGTTTCCAGTAAAAAGGATCTCCGCTTCTCTACACTCACCATACAAAATACAGCAGCATTAAGCTACTATTTTACGCTGGTATTCTGTGAGAGTGTGGTCCCCCCTCGGCCGACCCATTCGTGCTACAACTATAATAATAATGTCCTCCAGACCGAATTTCAGTCACGGCGGCCAGCCTCAACGGAGGCTAGCCATCGGCGCAGGACAGGATTATAGTGCCCAAGTGTATGCGCAAGCACAGCTGCTCTCTCTATTCCCTCACTCTCATAATCCGACGGTAAACCGACACGACCGGAGGGAGATCAGGCGCAGGACCAACGGCTTTACGTGCTTTCCGAGGCACGGGGGTGAGACACCGCCAACTTCCTGACTTCGGGCAGCTACCGAGAATTTCTTGACGGAAAAACTCTATAATTGATTTTTTGGCCCGATCCGGGATTCGAACCCAGGACCTCATGATCAGCAGTCTCACTACTACAACCACTAGACCAACGAGGCAGAGGCTACAACTATACTAATAATATAACTACAGCATGGCTCTACCATGTTTAAAATTATGGAATACTTTATTGAACTTTTAGTAGCTTGATATAGTTTAAATAATAATAAGTACCCGGATGACCGAGCTTTGCTCGGTTTTTTTTTAAGTTACATTTAGATACAAATTACATGAATAATATTTTTTGATCTTATTGACACAATAGAAAAAACTGTACTGGTTATTTGAATGAAAATCATGAGTGCAATTAGTTTAATTAAAATTTTTCTTACTTTTAAAAATTACTAAAAAAAAAGGGCTCGAAATAATAGATTTTCTCACAAAAAAAGGGAATTTGAAAACAAAGTCGGACCCAAGACGGGTCGCGAACCACGGTACTCCGATATCACGCCCGACCGACATCCCACCTGAGCTATTACGATCGTTAGTAGTCTGTCAAAATTTACCTTCTTATATTGTAGCAGTTTTTTTATTGCCTGAAAACACAGACAAAAGGACATTTTCTAAAAATAAATCCTAGCTAGATTGATTTATTGCCCCCCGAAACTCCCTGGACACTAAATTTTATGAAAATCGTTGGAGCCGTTTCCGAGATTCCGATTATATATATATATATATATATATATATATATATATATATATATATATATATACAAGAATTGCTCGTTTAAAGTTATAGCATTTGTAACTGCATAACAATGAATTTACACTAATTATATATTAACATTTTTATTTAAATATTGCATCTAAGATTATATAAAACCTCTGACTTCTAAACTAGGCAGGGCCTGTATCATTGAAGTCAGTGCTTTTCACAAAACAAGTGTCAATAAAATTAAAAGTATAATTGTAGGCTACTTATTGTATATTTTACATATTATATCACTTGTGCATATTATATAAAAGAAATAATGTATAAATAATAATTTAAATAATTAATAGTAAATAGATTAAATTTGATTAATTTTATTGTGCGTTTTTTTGCAGATATACTGTTACTCACCCTTAGTTTCTTTATGAGTTTGTCTCGGGACTTGACACCAACACACTGGCCCTTGCAGAAGGCGTCTGCCACGTGGCAGCCCTTCACGTCCGACAAGATCACCATCAGATCCTCTGCCGACAGTTCTAGAAGACTTGCAACCGCCTTCGTTGGTCGCTGGAAACAAACAGAACAGGTTTCATAGCAAACTCTAGAAACTGCGAGATCATTTTCTTATTTTACAATGGCAATGGGCTGGCTGCATCGAGTTTACTGTTAATTTCCTTTATTTTAACCACTTACTACCCCACTTTTTATAGAATACAACAACACACGAGCAACACGAGCGAAAAACGAACACACAGTCCATAATATATATATATATATATATATATATATATATATATATATATATATATATATATATATATATATATATATATATAACTTTATCAGCATGGGTTTCGCAAATGAAGGTCAACGGATGACGCCTTATTGAAATGGACATCTTTAATTCACAAATATGTTGATAAGAGGAGAGAAGGTCATTGGTGTTTTTCTTGACCTAAAGAAAGCTTTTGACACAGTATCAATTCCGATACTATTGTCTAAACTAGAGGGCTTGGGCATCCGCGATCATGTACACCAATGGTTCCGTAGTTACTTGGCAGGCAGACAGCAATACGTTAGAGTAAATAAAGACCTAAGTGACGCCTCAACCTGTGGATTCGGTATTCCACAGGGCAGTACATTAGGCCCGACTCTCTTCTTGGCGTATATTAATAGTCTTCCAAACGCATTAACATCTAATACGGCAGTGCTAATATTTGCTGATGACACAGTCTTACTATTTCATGGGCAGAGTTGGAAATAAGTACAAACTTTTGCAGAAACCTGTTCTAAGAATGTTTCAGCCGGGTTAGAGAATAATACTCACATTAAATATTTCAAAGACCAAATACTTCTGCTTCTCGAGGTCTGCAACTTCAGGGACAGCTGAAGACTTTACAATCACACTACATTCTCCACGCACCAAACACAACAATGATTCAACTTGAACGTGCGCAAAGAGCAATTTTAAAAGTACTAATGCATCTACCGTACCGAGATTCTGCTAATAAAGTCTACAACGAGACCCAGGTACTCTCAGTTCGCAAGTTGTTTATAATTCAAGCTCTCCTGAGATACCACCGTGTAACTGCCTCACTACCATGAACCAGTAAAAGAAGATTTCGGTGCCCTGTACCCATTATCAAAACCACCTTTATGCAACGACACTACAATTACATAGCACCATACATATATAATAAAATTCCCATCGAGAATATTGTTAGCCTTATAACTCTAAGCACCAATAGATTTTAAAAATATGTACTAAAATGGCTGCATTATCTTGACTATGTCCAAACTGAAAATCTTCTTACAATATCTAAATAAAATGCAATCATTAAAACACGCACAGACACACTCACATACACACACACACACACTCACACACACTCACAAACACACCACACATACACACAACAACAATAAACAACACATTAAACAGCACGTAACAGTAACGGCTATAAACTAATATTAATTAAAGAATAATGAATCGTCTTATGTACTTGCCGAATATAGACCCAGAACTAAGAATCAGTTAGTTAGTTACTTTACGACGGGCTGTTTTCCGCAACTCCACGTCTAAGCGCGTATTTTGCGTATGGGCAGGAATAATATGGTTATTCGAGCCATGATATCTCCCCGAAGAAGCTCGGCAGTCCCTTGAGGTTGCAAGCAACTTCGGGGAGCGATCCCGGCGTGCCGAGATGTTTAGCCCTGTATGAAGCGACTTCTGGACATGTCAGCAACACGTGAGCCGCCGTTTCTTACTCTTCCATGCATGCCCTGCACAGGGGGCTGTCAGTAACACCTATGGTGAACAAATGTTTGTTAAAAGAGCCATGTCCTGTGATAGAACTTGTTACTATCCTGATCTGTGGCTTGTTCAGTCTCATTAGAACCTTGGTTAGACGACTGTTTATTTCAGGCAGGGCCTCCCTAGCTTGTTTACAGTCTACTAAATTCTTCCAAAGCTGAGCGTGTAAATTATTGAAGTATCTACGTACCAGTGAACGAACGTAGCCAAAGGGGATTGGTATTATTGGTTCCGGCCCTGTAGTTGCCAGAGCTGATCCCCTTCTGGCCAGTTCATCTGCTGCATCGTTGCCTCTAGATCCACTGTGTTCCTTGATCTATTGCAGAGTCATATTGTTATGCTTACATACCTCATTCAATCGTTGATGACACTCATATATCAGTCCCGAGTTCGTCACATTGCAACTCAGAGCTTCTAGTACCGTCGGTCAGTATTCTCATGGAGAAGTCTTTTACCTTCCTAGCATCTATTGCTATAGCCGCTTGGATGATACCCACGCATTCAGCCTGGAAGACTGTGTTGTGGGTACCCAGCGGTGTGCATATGTGGATATTAAGGTTTTCAGAGAAAGCCACCTTCACCTTCATTTGTCTTAGAGCCATCCGTGAAAACTTTGAGCTTTCTTGGACCCAATCCTTACAGATGGTCAGTTTCCTTCAATTGTATCCTGTACTTCTTATCGAATACAAATTGTTTTGGGATCCTATCATACTTGGCTTAATAAGATATGAATTTTTGAGTAAATTCTATCAATTATATCTGTATGGGGGACTCTACTCTTACTTAAAAGATTTAGGGTCTTGAGTCTAATGGCAGCTAAAATTGCTTCTTGTTGTATATGTAGATGAAGCGGTGTTAGCACCAGCATAGCCTCCAAAGCTGCTGTTGGTGTAGTCCTTATGCAGCCCGTGGCAGCCATACAAGCCAATCTCTGGTAACGCTGAAAGCTGAAGCTTTCGTATAGTGGTGGCTTTAGTGGTTTTGGTCCACCATACCAGAGAGCCGTATGTGATCACGGGCCGAATTACAGTTTTTTGCAGCCACAGTATAATTTTTGGCGTCAAACCCCATCGTTTGCCAATCATGTTTCTGCATTGCCAGAAAGTTAAACTAGCTTTGTTGATTTTGTTTTCTATGTGTTTATTTCAATTAAGTTTACCGTCCAAGGTAAGACCTAGGTATTTTACCTCGGAGGAAAGCTGGAGTTTTGTTTGCTGAAAAGACTTGGAAGATGATAGTTATTCAGCATTCGTTTTTGTGTGAACATTACTATAACCGTTTTGTTTGGATTAACGGTTAGGTTATATTCCCTGCACCATCTCTCCACAATACGGAGAGCCCCTTGGGTCAGGTCGCACACAATGCTTGCTGTCTTTTCAGAGACCAGTATTGTCAGATCATCTGCATAACCGACTGTCTAGAAATAGTTAGCGTTTAATTTGCCGATGAGTTCATTAATGACCATATTCCACAGGAGAGGTGAAAAAGCCCCACCTTGCGGGCATCCTTTCATGATCTGAATTGTCTGAGATTCAACAGAAATCTTTATTGTTCGTGTACTGAGCATGTTTACTATCCAGTCAATCAGCGCCGGTTCAACATTATGTCTACTTAGGGCACCTTTTATGCTGGAGAAATTTGTTCTGTCAAAAGCACCTTCTATGTCTATGAAGGAGCCTAGACATATTACTTTGTTTTGGATGGCCTCTTCAATCTGTGTTATTACATGGTGAAGTGCCGATTCTGTCGACTTACCTAACTATAGGCGTGTTGGTCTTCGTGTAGCGGTAAGTTAATTAGCGCCGACCCTCTCAACTCCCGTTCACACATCCTCTCCATCGTCTTTAGGAGAAAGGATGTGAGGCTACTGGGTCTGTAGGATTTAGGGTCTGTATAGTCGTTCTTACCTGGTTTGGGTATGAACGTAAACTAAGAATTAGGGAAGGCACTGTTTCCTGAGATACAGGTGATAACCTAGTTCAGGAGACAGAGCTCCTTTGTATTTAGACATATTTGGTTGCTAATAAACGTTATTTATTATTATTATTTACTATAGTGTAATTGGATGCTGTGGCCCATAAATATCAACATTTATTCTCGATTAGGAATCAAAATGCAGATGCGTTGTCAACCCTGAGGACTGAGATAGAATGTTTCATTACAAGTAAAGAGGGTCGCCGGATCTCTACACTCACCATACGAAACACAGCAGCATTAAGCTGCTATTTCTCGCTGGTTTCTGTGAGAACATAGTCCTACCTTGATCGAGCCGACCCATTTGTGCTACAACTACAATATAACTGAACCGTAACTTGAACAAATTGACATTTGAATTTGATCACTAACCTGAAAGTCGAGTATAGTCTGTAATATGACCGAGCCGTGGATATTGATGAAATACGTTTGATCCAGTTTGGTTACGTCCACTCGTTCTAAAGGTAGCAGGCGCAAGCACAGAACTGCGAAATACCGCTGGTTTTGTTCATCACCGCACTTTAGAGCTGCCTCTAGACTCTGCAAATTTATCAAAAGAAAATAAGTAGAAATCGAGATATGTAAACACAACAATGTAACTCTACAATGGGTCAAGGGAAACAGTGGATCTAGGGTCTACGACGGAGCAGACGAACTGACCAGGGGAGGATCGACCCTGGTTGCAGTAGGGTTGGGATCGATCATACCGATTCCTTTTGGCAACATTCCTTCACCGGTATGTAAGCACTTTACTAATCAGTATGCTCAGTTTTGGAAAAATCTAGAAGACTGTAGACACGCTAGGCAGGCCCTGCCAGCAATAAACATCGTTCAACCAAGGTCTTAATAAAATTGAACTAGGCCACAGATCAGGACAGCCACTAATGCCATTACAGGATATGGCTTTATTAACTTTACCATAGGTGTCAATGATAGTCCCTGAGCAGGGTGTGTATGGGGGGAGGAGAAAACGGCTGCACACGTGTTGCTGGTATGTCTAGAGGACGCTGAATATAGGGCTTAACATCTCGGCACGCCAAGATCACACCCCAAGATTGACCCCCGTCCCCCATGAAACTATCTATGGAGGAAGCCTAAGTTCAGCAGTGAATTTTTATAGGCTGTTGTAGTTTTTGTCAATTATGTATTTAACGATGTCGTGGCGGTGTAAAAATATCCACCACCTCATATCATCCCGTGGGTGTCGTAACGGCAACAGAGGGACACTAAACCAGGAGATGAACGGGCAGCAGCTTCTTCCTGATAACAACTCAATATTATAAAAACAGCGGCGACAAACCCCCCCCCCCCCCCCTATGAGGTAAAAATAGGGTGGGCTATATACAGTAGTGGACTTTTATAGACTTATTGTTGGATGGATGAATAATATATTTACCTGAACAAACTGTGTCTGCTTGCTTTTAATCCTGAGACAAGCTTTAGCGAGCGCCACCAACACGCCGGTGTTGCCACACGCAAGGAGCGCAGCGAACTTGCTAGACAATTCTTCAAACATTGGCTCGAACTGAAATTATTATTGATATATTTACTGATTGATATCATGTTACTTTAAATAACATTTTATATATATCACGCGTATGAAGCAATCAGTTGTAGGGCTTTCTGTCACTAAATTGACCGCTGTATGGCACAGTGGCTTAGAAATAATTACGGTTGCAGATTCGAATATCACACGGGAGAAGTATTTGTATGGCCTATACAATTATCTGGGCGCACGGCAGTGCCCCCGCCAAGTCGAGCAAAAAAGCGGCACGGCCGTACCATCTTTTCTCGAAGCAATTCAGGTCATTTTCGATCCACTATAACTTCGTGGTCAAAAAAACTAGAAGCCTGAATTTTCAGTAACCAAGTAAGCATTGTATAGATATGGTATATTTCAATCAATAAAAAAATCATTCAATTTGAACCAGTAGTTTAAGAATTGTAACCAGTTAAACTTTCTTAATTTTGTCACTCACTGACTGACCGATCATCAAAACTCTAAGGCACTTCTAACAGACATAGAAGCTTCAAATTTAGAATGCAATTAGTGTTTAGAGTATAAATCAAGGAAAAACTAAAACATTTGTTAATTTCTGTCCAGTTTTCTAGATTGCTTAATGCGATTGCCAAGTCAATCTATATATTTAAAACATAAAAGACTTAACATTGATATAGTCACTATAAAATGTTGTTAGGTTAGCTAATTACTTTATAACTTAAAACAGGACCCTTAAGTAGGGACTGAATAAATTAACCGAATTGGTATTACATGGATCTCACAACTTTTTACTGTAGAAGAACTGAGTTGCGAGACTTGGTTTTTTTTTACAAGTTACGTTTTTAATTGCATAATACAATATCTGTTAAGTTAACTATGGTATTATAAGGTGGTAGTCTAAGGGTCCTTTTCTGGGATAACGAAACATCTAAAACCGGACCTCAGGGGTGACAATGCATCTGAATTTTAATTCTTAATTGAGTATAGATGCAGGTGTCTAAGGGCCGCAGCATCAACTTACCATCAGGATTTTTATACATAAAAATATAATATAAAAGTGCTCCATACCTCCTCTTTGATTTTACAGTTATCTATCAGCCTCTGTACTGTAAAGTTGAGCATGGGCAGTGTTGCCAGTTGTCCCAGACGGTTGATAAAGCATTTAGCATAGATCTGAGTGTACATTTTCTTTTTAGCTACAAATAGGGCTGCTTCCAATAACCTGTTGAAATAAAATTTTATTACATATAAGAAAGGTGCACGAGTGGTGCCTCGTATTGGGAAGCAAAGTGAAGGGAACCCAAACTAGGTGGTGGGACGATCTGATGGGTTGCGGGAAGTCGATAAATGAAACAGGATTTTATCGCGTTTTTATTAATTATTATTACTAAGAATTATATTTTACAACGAAATCCCCCGGTGACCATGGGTGTTGTGAAGTACACGAAACGTCGGGAATATAAAATATATTAATAAAAACGCAATAGAATCCGAAAACTAATTTCACTAAATGTGTAGTGTTTGCGTAAACATAAGAAATATGTGTAGACGTGGAAAGAGATGCAGGAAGTCGATGGTTGCAGGGGGGTCAGGACCATGATATACCAGTGAGGATAGACCTGTATGTCAGCGACAGGGATGAGTCAAAATATCAGATACTGGTTGTAAGTGGATGCTGTGGCCATATACATCTACACCTCAATTAAAATCGCCACTTAGGACTAAGATGTATGCCTTTTTCCAGTAAAAAGGGTTTCCAGTTCTCTACACTTGTGGAGCCGACACACTCGTGTTAGAACCATAATATAAGTGCTGGTTGGCTCTACCACATATAAAATATACTGTTTCACTCTGTATACCTCTATATACAGATCATAGTACGAGTAGTATTAGATTGAACTTTTTTTTTTTAAATTTTAATTGAAGATTTGAAGCCAACGGGAGAAGAATTTTGTGTATGAATTTATAAATTTTTATATGCACATCGTTCAGGGTTGAGAAGTAAGTAAATTTAAACATCTAAATTAAAAATAAACACTATACTAGGTGGTAAGCCTACTTTTTTTTAGTCGAGGAGTCGATTGGAGTGCAAGGGTCCCGCTTTTCTAGCTATTCCTGCGACAAAGCAGCAGTACTAATGTATCTTAGTTCGTCGTCAAGTCCTCAGGGAAGACAATTAATCAACATTTGAACTCATTATGTGTGAACGAAACAGTGTAATTAAAGTCATAAATTGTGGTTTTTTTATAGGATAGCTTGACAACAAGCACACAGTCCACCTGATGGTAAGTGGTTGCTGCAGTCTATAGACATCCCCCCACATCTACTCTCGATCACGAATCAAAGCGTTGTCACCCGTGAGGACTAAGATGGAATGCCTCATTTCCAGTAAAAGGGTCACCGGTTCTTGACACTCACCATACGGAACACAGCAGCATTAAGCTATTATTTTATTGAAATTCAAAATTCAAATTTATTTATTGCTAGCCTGTAGTATATAATAATATGATGTTATTAGTTATTAACGAGACCTTATATTCTACCATGATAATGGCTTGCAATCTTTTACAGTAAACAAAAAAATATTAATACAATTTAGTGAAGTAACTTATTGAAGAAAATGAATTAGGTATGTACCTATCCAAAAATATTTTAGCGTCAAGTTTTTAGATTACAATAAATATTACATATCATTGTAATGTAATGTTTATTAAAATGTAGGTCAATGTTTATATAAATGTCAAATATCAAAAAATCAAAAAATTGTTAAAAATTAATAAATGTTATAATAATGTTATAATGTCAAAAGAATCAATTTTTTTTTTCATATTTCACCATTATTAAAATAGGAGATGATTTTTATTTTCGGATGAATACATATACAGTACAACATGTATATGCATATATTGTCATAAATTGTATCAAATTATTAGCAAAATTAAAATAAATTGCAATTTACTTATTAAGAAATATATTAAGTTTCGTCTTCAATTTTTTTTTATCAATAGCTAATGGCGTAATAGACGAAAGATGTCAGATAATTATTAATTATTTTTAAATAGAATAAAATATCAATGTTCAGTGAAATTAGAGCAGTTCATTCGTTAAATTTACAATCTAGAAACTCTTTGACGCTATAGGTACTTTCTGCAAGAAAATCATTGAGGTTTTTTTTTAAATCTTGGTAAAGAAAGTGCTTTAATATGCTGAGGAATTTTGTTATATATTTTGACACACATATATAGACAGCTTTTATTATACTTAGATAATCTAGCAAGTGCGTCGATTACAAATTTTTCGGGGTATCTATGGCTTCTAGAAGATATACCTTTTGCTTAAGTAAACAGATAGTTGTGTTGTTTAACGAACAAACAAATTTCATATATGTAGAGCGAGGGCAATGTCAATAACTTAAGGTTTTTGAATAAAGGTTTACATGAATCAAATGGCGCTTTAAGAGTCAATGCTCGTAGACATTTTTTTTAGTGATAAAAGCTTTATTTAATTGACAACCATTTCCCCAGATAATTAACATGTAACGCAGAATTGAAACTACATAAGCATGATAAACTGAGAGGGCTATATTTATGATAGTGACTTTTCTAATATACCTTAAAGCATATACAAATTTATTTAGTCTATGGCACACTGACTTAATATGAGGCTCCCAATTAAGGTTTCTATCAATTACTAAGCCAAGAAATTTAGTTTGCGTCATTTCTTCAATTTTGGTTTCGTTGTAATATATGTCAAGCTTATTCGTTTTCAAATTATCAAATTTAATGTGAGTTTTGGTAAGATTAATTTTTAAATTATTTAGATTTAACCATTCTATTACTGATTTGATTGTATCATTTATGTCAGATTCATGTTTTGTAAATTAATGTTTCCTTGGGTTAGTAACAATTGTTATTGAAATATCGTCTGCAAACATGGTACATTTAAATGTAGTTTTTTAAACATTTATTTAGGACAACCAACAAGACGTACACGAACACAATATAAATACTACAAATTACAGAAAGGTTTATATCTAAGTGTCGTCTTAATTAAAGGTTGCCACGGCATACAATGTGGTCAACGAATATGTTTCTTAAAACTTACAACTACAAACTTAAAACTAGGTCTAAATGTTAGTTAAAAGTAAAGGACTGCATAATTTTTCGTTTGAATTTTTGAGGCTTATCAGCAAAAATATCAACGTCACATGTCTTGCAGAGCTGGTTATATTGCCTCTGTAACCTGTTTATGGCGGCGTGGTGACACAAATTAGTTTTACTGACTTCAACTGAAAAGGGGACGTATCGGCTGACAAGCAATAGCTTAAAAGGTACCTTGAAATTTATTGCACTTAGTAGGTATGGACAGTCTACGGTTCCATTGACGATTTTGTGTAGCAACATGAAATCCAGCAAAAGCCTCCGCTGTTGCAGGCTACTTAATTTAAAATACGTCAGTCGGTCTTCGTATGAGGGTAGATCTTTTATTTTGTAAGTTTGGTACGAAAGATACCACAAAAAACGCTTCTGGATACGCTCTATGCGTTTCACGTAAATGTCATAAATGGAGACCAGACCTGACTACAGTATTCGAGGCTGTAACGTACTAAAGACTTGTACAAGGATATTTTTGTAGAGATCCTCTTAAATACTTTAGAATTATGCAACACGAACCCCAACATTTGAAGACCCCTTGTAACAATTCCATCAACATGCTTATGAAACCGCAACTTTTTGTCCAGAACCACACCCAGATCTCGAACAGAGTCCACTTCTACCAAAGGATGACCATCAATATTATACATAGGTGTCGGAACATTTACACATATTGAGAATCTTATAATTTTACATTTATCGAGGTTCAAAAATAGTCTGTCCTTAACGCACCACAAAGACATCCGGTCCAAATCCTCTTCAGGTCGCGTGTTTAAAAACAGACGCTAGGTCATTTATAAAAATATTGAAAAGGATCGGACCGAGATGGGAACCCTGAAGAATGCCAGAAGTAGGTAGAAATGGTTCTGAGGAGTAACCATTTACCACAACTCTCGATTTTCTCTGCCTGAGGTATGAAGAGAACCATTCGAGAAGATTGCCAGTGATGCCCAAAATTGAGAGTTTGTGAAGTAAGATGTTATGATCTACAATGTCAAACGCCTTAATGAAGTCTGTGTAGATGGTGTCCACAGACAAGCGGGAATCGAGAGACTTGGAGACATAGTCCACAAACGAACGAGATTTGTAGCTGTAGAGCGAGATGTTAAAAAGCCCGATTGTTGGGGTGAGATTATTTGTTTTATGTGACAAGCCAAAACAGGACAAACTAATGATTCAAAAACTTTAGCGAAGAAAGACAATATGGATATTGGTCTGTAATTTCTGACGGATCCTGCATCTCCTGATTTATAAATTGGGACAATACGTGCCTGTTTCCAGACCGAAGGGAAAGTACCCGTTTTTAAAGACATTGAAAATGGTTGCCAAAGGCAAGGATAACGCTTCGCGGCAGTTGATTACAAACAAAAGGGGGTATGTCGTCAGGTCCAGCTCCCTTGGCCCGATCTAGACCAGTAAGAGTTTTGATTACTTGATCTTGGGAGAACAATGATGAGGTACAAATTTGGTCAACAGTGGTCACAGACAGTACTGAGCTAGTGTTATACACCGATGCGAAAAATGAGGCAAAGAGATTGCATATGCCGTCACCATTATCTGCTTTGTCATCTCCGAAGGTCATGGATGTAGGGTAAGCATTGCTATTACGTTTTTTATTTTTTATGAACGTCCAGAATAACTTTGGATTTTAGGAAAGTGCTCCCTCCAGATCCGCGACATAGTTTTTATGACAGGTGCCTATTAATTCGGCGCATCTTTTGCTAAGTATTTGTAATGCAAGTTCGTCCAGTGGATTTTTGTATTTACGGTACCTCAAACGAAGTTTGTTTTTTTTCCTTGAGGAGATGTATGAGCTCCTTTGTGTACCATACTGAAAACTCTTTTTGTCGAGGGTTTACATTTTCGAACGTACTTAGTAATCGTGTCTGTTAAAATAGCATAAAATTCTCTTACAATGACATCCACCGAACATGAAGATTGTATACGGTCCCATGAAACTGAATTTAAATGTGTTATGATTTTATCGTAGTCCGCCTTATGAAAGTTATATCTTTGGCTTTGAGCGTTAGGCAATAAACTTGGCGGATCACAACACGAAAATGTTACT